TATATATATATATTTCTTTCTGCATAAATTATATTAAATGCAATTTTAAAAGAGAATTGAAACCAATAATTTTTTATAGTCTATACATTAATTACGATATGAAGTCTAGTATAATCCATATATGTATGTAGCACTTTCGTTGTATGCATGATATTAGTCAGCATAATAAAAAAAAAACATGATCAACAAGCAAGAGAACCTGTCGATATATGCAAATCATTGAATTGGGAAAAATTTATAACGTACCGGAAAGATTCGCATGTTTATGCTTCGTAAGAGAATGTGACGTCATTTATTATCATCGATAATAAACTAACGAACGACTCTCTCTCGCGACAGTCTTGATCTTACCTTCACCAAACGAACACGAGCGTTCTCTCCACACCTACGAAACCGCACGGTACTTTCATTATATCGGTTCATTTACGGTCCAACGCTATCATATAGATTAAAGTGAACTATTACCAATCTCGTAATTTTCATAATTCGCCGACACGCGGTTGACGCAATAAATCTTGTCTTTGTACCGACTGTTTGGATATTGGTGATACTACTTAGTGAAAAAATCTAGTTAATTTTTTGTTACATAAGATCATTTATTTTGCAATACGTGCAATTTGTATTTAAGTAATAATTATTTTCTGAAATCTTTTATGTTTCTGAGAAATAATTACTTTTTATACATGAATCAAATCAATGACATGGAAATAATTTTCTCTTGTCATTTTTTGTCGTTATCCATTAACTTTTTATCATCAATTTTTTGCTATAGACAATTTATCTCAAGATAAATTAATCGTTGATCAAGTTAATGGTAGTTGAAGGTCCTTAAAAATTATTTAAAGGAAGTTTCGATATTACGAACTCTAGAGATTTTTTAAAACACTGAAATCGAAGCTTTGACAGAATATACGAAAAAATAAAATTAAAATGCAGAAATATTCTATTTAATTTTTAAATATTTACATTTATTAATCTATTTTTATTTATTTTGCATTAATTTTGTTGATGCTAGATAATGCTAGCGTTACAGATTACATTCTCGTTTTACTTCGTAACTCTTCATTCCGTGTATCATTGATCTTGAAATTTTTTTCTCTTCGAATAACACTATTACTTCGCATTTTTAAAACCAGTTTCTCTAGCACATGCTATAGCTCGCTTATTAATGGCTTATCGTAATTACTGAAAAATCACCGATTGGTTGATGATATAATATAGATATATGAATAATTTCACTTTCTCTATACTCATTTGGTTATATATCAAACTCAATATAAATTCAAACTCAATATTTTTCATTACCGTTATAATATATTGTGATCTATATATAAATTTTTAATTTATATTACGTTTAACAATGTGTTTACAGGCCGTCGCAAAATTTCTCAACGATCTGAGGCTAAACAGTACTTTAGGAGAAGAAATGTGGAGATTCCGAGATAACATATTGATTCAATTAAGCTTCATTTGCCTCTTCGTACTTAACGCATATACCGTATGTAGTCTATCGATAGCAACGGTACGAAATGGCACATTGATCGGTATAACAATGCGTACTAGACTGGGAAGAGACATTCATGCGTTTCTGGGAATTCCCTATGCTGCACCACCGATCGGAGAACTCAGATTCGCGGTAAGATTATTCTGTTTTTATCACAAGCAATTAAATCTCAACAAATAAAATAACTCTGGAATAGTCAGTCAAGAATCTGTAAACTTTTTAGTTTTGATTAATTTCTGATTAATTCGGAGGGTATCTTTTCTGAAAACGAAAATCTTGAGTTATTAAAAAAAATAAACAGTTGGATATATAAAAGTCGTTAAAAATTTAAGCTTTAGAAATATAAATCTATAATAAAGATTTTGTATCTCTTTAATTTTAAGCAAATATTAATTCACTAGATTTTTGAATTTAAAAACTTACTAAATTATTTATCGTTGCAAATTTAAAAAAAATGTTTGACATATCACTCTAAAATATTCGAGTTATAAAAACGATTTATATATACATTATCTTCTAAATAATTTATGCTCGAGAGACTCGCCATCTGTATCAAATATATGTTTAACGTATCAACGGTACTTACCGAGACTTATCATAATTTAAAAATGATTGCGTAAACTTGTACAAATTGACCTAGCTGGATTATGGATTATAATCTAAAAATTATTAGATTAAAATGAGACAGAATTAATTATCTGAACCTGCCTGCTGTATCCTTAATGATCCCTAATGAATTTCTCGCGCAATCCTTTAGAAAGTAGCGTCAGGGACTTTTGCACGTCAATCATATGTTGTATGCAGCGCGGTTACGTAGTAATATTGTAATAATAAAAATGTTTTTTTTCTTCGGGCTTACGCGTCAATTTTTTTTTCTTCGCAATTAATGCTATCTCTGTTGCAATTAATTTGTAAACAGGGACTTCGCATTTTCTTAAGTTAATCTTCTGCGTAATGTTTTACACCTGGATTACTTCGTCATCGTTCCGTGAAAAAAATTGCGTTATAGTCAGATGAATCGCGTTGCAACGCAATAAATTTTTCTGAGCACGAGCACGTTCTAAAAAAGAGCCTTAGCCTCAACAAAACTATATAGGGTATTTCGTCACCACATTTTATCGTCTCTTTATATTCACGACGTTCTATAGCCGTAAAATGCACCTTGTGCATCGCCTAGCTTTGCATACATTGTAGACTGTTGTTAGTATTATTGCATCGTACTTAATCTGAATTAGCAATTCCGCATGTGTGTTTTCTACATATAACTCTCTCTCTCTCTCTCTCTCTCTCTCTCTCTCTCTCTCTCTCTCATCATTAATATCAATATATTATAAAACTAATATAAAATAAGAAAAGCAGAGTTTTATATATTCCATATATAAAGATTTTCTAAAAATATAATTCCTTGAAAATATATTTATTGAAAACTATTTATATAAATTATATAATTATGTTGTGTATAAAATTGTTAGTAAACTAAACATGCTTATGTTACCAAGTGTTTATGATTTGAGTCAACTGGAAAATCGTTTGAAAGTAAATTGTAAGAGAAAGTAAGAAAGCATATTCAAATCAGAATATTTTTGATCTGCTTATGGTGTTTAGAAAATGTTTCTAAAACTACTCTGCGGTTAACGCATAAACTCGCGATAAATACATGTTATTGCGAGATAAAAATTTACAAATAGCCATGCCAGCTATTATTGTCGATGACAAATATTCATTATTTTAAAAACTACTAATTTCTAGATAGAATTTTTATAAATTCTATTGGTTAAACATTTTATATTTTTGCCGCAATATTGAAAGATTTAATTCTTTATACATATCTTTTTCTTTAAACAAATAAAACCTTAATCATATCAGAAATTGATTATTTTTCGACATTCTTCAAGATAGCTTGTTTCGACTGAAATTAATTTTATATTAAACTCCTTCTTTTCTTTCTCTCTCTCATGCTGTCTTTTACATCTTATTTTTTTTTTTGATTTTCGAATAAAATCCGATATACAGTAAAGATTCACCTTGTATTTGATTAATGAATGTAAGAAAATTTAACGTGGTCAAAAAAGAGTAAACATAATTACAATTGATGAGATGTAAAAGAAAGATTGCCCTATCAATGTTTTTGCAGATACTTTTTATAATGCAAGATGCAGTGTATTTGCAATTGCGGAAGTGACAATCATTGAAATTTAATCGTCAATCTAAGCGAGGAACATCATAGAGATCATGCTAATTATATTTTATTCACATCGGATATTCTACTGATCGATTGCTTTCATCATTTAACGAGCAACGAAGATTGCTTCTTGCATTTTATCCATTGCTTATTTCGTAACATCACATGTATTTAGATGCCAATATAATATCTGATATGCAGATATGAGAGAGAAAGAGAGGAAGAGAGAGATTATTTTTTAATTTAGGACGCTTGGAAATTTATTGTTAATAGATATAAAATAAATCGCAACAATAACGAAAATGGAATTGAGATATGTTGACATAATTATTATTTTATTATGTAACAACTATTTTTGACATCTGCCATATGTAATTACATATAGAATGCACGGAGAAAATTTTATATTAAATATTACTATAATGTCGTAGTAGCTGCGGACCATCAAGGAATTATATTTATTTTGACACGCCATTTCATCGTTATTTATTTTATATATCATCGTGTTTATAAAGAAATATGTGCCTACTGATTCTTTTCAATTAAATTTCGCATTTAAATGTTTCATAGGAATCTCTTAATAAATAAAAGTATAAATATCTTTTTCCTCTCTCGATTATACAATTAAAATGAAGTAATACGAGATAATCACAAATTGCGCAGCACAATTCTTATGATGTAATATTGTCGAGCTATCCTGAATAAAAAAGAACATTATTTATACAAGCATAACAAGTAAAGTCATTCACTAACACACTACGATTTTTTACTGCTTTTGCAAATCCTGTATTGAAAAATTTTACATTCAGAAGGACATTATATTTAAACGTCATTAAAATCACGAATAACATCAAGTTAATATTTAAAATAATAGAAAAGCTTCAGAGATAACAAATAACAATTAGAAAGTGCACAAGAAGCCTTGATCCATCTTTAACACCATCATTAATTTTAGGCTAAAATACTTTTTTTATCGTAAGAATATTAATAAGAGAAAGTTCTCGGATTCGGATTCTCGTATATTTTTTCTTATGTTAAATTGGTCCCCGAAAAATTTAAATCCGTCGTCAAAAACACTGACTTATTCCTAGTTTACACTGGGCTGATTTAAGCCTTTTTATTAAAGTGCACAAAGATGCACTTCCACAATCCTGCTGTAATACGTGCATGTTGCATAATCAAAACAATTTCTATTACCAAATTTTCGTCTACTTTCGCTTAATTCGTCTGTCTTATTAACAACATTTTTGTCTTTATCTCTATAAAGAAACCGACAAATAAATTAATTAAATATTCTTAAAAGTTTTAGAACGGTTCCGCATGTATTGTGTTTTAAGAGACTAATCCATTCAATCCACCCAGACTGAATTTATCATTTTTATAAAACGCTTCATTTGTTTAGCAAGGACTCGTCGAGGCTTTGCTCGCAATAAGATCAGTTTCGACGCAGATGCATAAACATATCAAAGTCGTCATCTAATATGTGACGATATGTTTTGAGATTTGTGTTGAGGAGTGGGAGCTTTAAAAAAAGAGTTATCATTATATATAACATGGCATGTGTGTGTATTATGCAATCAGACATATGTATAATCTGCAATTTTTTACAGAAATATATTTTAATTGACGTAATATGTTTTTACGCTCATGAAATATTTATATTTATCTTCGTGACACAGGTCTTTTTCACCGCGGTATCTCGCAAAGCGGTAATTTTTACAACCCATGGACTTTAACGCCACCGGGATCTGCCAAAAAGAAGGCCATGATCTTAGGTAGAAATTTAAGGTGCAACACCGACACTTCCGCGGAACTCATCAAATGTTTGCGAACAAAAGACGCAGCGGAGATTATCGGTACCGATCGACTTTTCCAGGTAATTAAAAATTAATAATTAATTAAGTTAGTTAACATAAGATAAATAAAGAATACAATTTTTTTTATTTTATCTCTGATAGTAACAAATCAAATCAGTTAGTGTAATATAGTATAATATTTCCAACAATATAATGAAAGAGTATTTTGTTAGAAATATATATATAGTTAAAAATATTACATAAATAAAACATATACTATAATGGTTACTGTCATTTTTAAAGTTAAATTTAATCGAGACAATTAATATGTATGAAAATAGAAGATTAAGCGACAAAATCTTTTTTTAAATTACAATTACAAATTATTTTATTATATTTAAACAAACAATTTATTTGACTATTATATTTCTAATTTACTGCAGTTTTCTTTTGTGAATATTATTAAATGATATTATTAAATGAATATTGAAACGATTTTGTTCGTTAAATCTCGAAGTAAAAGAGGAAAGTATGACTAATTTCTCACACAAATATGTCTTAGCATGCAAGAATAACATCTAAATCGACGCGATGTATGTATAAAAAATTTAATTAACTGCTGGTATTTGACCTAAATCTTTTATATACTTGAACGACTGCTTATTATATGACTTCGTTTCGACAGCTATCTGAAAACATTCGTTTGCTGCTAATCATATGTGCATACCGTTACCGCGTATTGCGTCACATGAAATTTATAAATTTTTATTTCTTTCTTTCTCTCTCTATCTTCTATAAGTTTAATATATATATATATATGAATCACATTTATTATTCATAATGTAATCAATCTTATTTAAATTATTAATTATTATTCTAATATAATCTTATTTAAATTGTTAATTATTATTCTGATCTAATCTTTATTTAAAAAAGCTAATCAGACGCATAAATCAAATCTAACTCGCAATATTCATTTGTATGTGTGAAAAGTTTGCTCAAAACAATTTAAGCGCATTCATGCGCAGCCGTTAAAATCGTAACCGCGAGACAAGCTTTATATCTCTGCGCGTGCATCAGTTTCAGAAATTATATATACTTACAAGTAAACATCGATATGGTTGGATGAGAATGATACTTGGACAGTCACGCAAAGTTGTTTCATTTCACTTTAAAATAGGCGTGTCCCGATGCAAAATTAAAATGAAATCGAAAGATGATTATGATGATAGACCATATATATCCATCGCTCTATACATATATCCATGAAATATTTTCGAATGTTTATTTTCTTAAAATGAATTAATAAATCGTTTATCAGATATTTTAGTTATACATATTAGACAATGTAGTGCAACGAAAACATTTTCCAAACTTTAACATCGTTTACAAAATGTAACAAACATGATTTGTTTGTTGATACTTTATTTATTTAAATGACGCCATAGGAATTTTTCTGAAATAATTACTTTACACGTGATATGTTTCAAATAAAAATGATAATCTGATTCAAATGCGATATACTGAATAAATACATTCAAAGTTCTGGCGATACGAGACACCAGTTTAGCGAGACGTGGATGTTTATCTGCATACATGCCTGCATAGCGCATCTCTATCAGTTGAAATAAAAAACGGCAAGTAACTCGCAAACGTGATCAACGTGAAGAATCGTCCACCATGTCATACTTCTTTATTATTATCCGATAAAGCATTATTTGTTTCTCCATGAAATATATGCTTTTATTCTAATTAAGTTTTCTATAATTTAATTTAATTATCCGTGTTCTCTATCACAGCACTTTGGTTATTGTCCAATGATACCTTTCAAACCAGTGATCGAACCTAAACACGTAGGTGCTTTTCTGACGGAGGATCCATTAATTTCCGTGCGGCAAGGCCGTTTAGCTGATATACCCTGGATGATGGGGATAACATCGGAAGAAGGAAGCCTTAAAGTAGCAGGTGAGAACAATATTCTCGAATCTCCAGCTCGAGTATCAAGATCTACATGACATTATTACTTTAGAATTATAATTATCAGAAAGCTATGTACAAAATAATCTTTCTCAAAAATACTTATAAAATTTTAAAGATAATTTTTAGAATAAGAAACGAGAAAAAATTACTTATTCCTGTAATTTATTGCTTGCTTGCATAAAGCCTCATAAAAGCGATTTTAGATCACATAAAACTCATTATTCGCTTCTAGATAATATGTAAATACAGTTTTAACATCACATTCTTAACTGTGTCGCAATTTATTACACATTAATTGGATAAATCTTTCCGACACGAGCATTATGAAATTTTGCGTGATGTTGTTTTACGATGCAAAATTATTTTCAAGTTGAACAAGCAATAAAAAAGAATATTTATGCACGAGATACTTCTCAGGTATTTACGGACGAGATCTGGGTGAGCATGTAAAGAAGTTGAATAGTGATTTCCATAATGTTGCACTTCTGAGCTTATTGTACGAAGAGCGATACGGCATTCGAGATACGCAATTTCGAGATGAGATGAGCGCTAAAATTCGCGCATTTTATTTTGGCAATAAAGACATCGATCAATCTGACGAAGCTAGGTTCAAAGTCATCGATGTAAGTTTAAATAATTAAATAATGAATATAAAAAGTTGGGAAGAAACAAAGATTTTGTTACTTAAATAATATACATCATTAACATTTACAAAGTTTGGAAAAGAAAAACGTGTATGTTTTACATTCGAAATAAAGTTTCTCTTTTAAATGACAAACAATATAGTTACAGTAAAAATTATTCTTATGCTTTAAAAAATTATTCAATAAAATTATAATCTTTGTTTCCTATATTTTACACAGGATTAATTGAGCAAGAAAATTGCGGCTGTTAATTATTATGTTTCTCTATTAACCTAATGACTCATTAATGTGATTTTGCAGATGTACAGCGATGCGTGGTTTAATCACGGCACTCATGAAGCCATCCAAGATTTTATTGCAAATCAAACTTCTCCGATCTATTATTATTATTTCGCGTATAGAGGAAGCGCATCTTTCAGCTCGATATTCGGCGATAGCGAGAAGAATTACGGAGTGTCACACGCGGACGAGCTGCAGTATTTGTTCCCTGTGGGTGAACAATTGTTCAAAGATACGGAGTTGTCTAAAGAGGATCACAAGATAATCAATATCATGACCGAACTCTGGTACAATTTCGCAAATTCCGGGTAAGTGTTAATATTTCCAGCAAAAATAAGATTTGTTATTAAATAAAATAAGATATTTTAATCGATATGATCATTTAAATTCACATTGTCACAAAATTTTATTATGGTTAATATCAGAATTTTATATATACAGGGTGCGGCATTTATAGTGACGCGGGCATATTTTTCGGAAACGAAGTGAGATATCAAAAAATGTTTCAGACAAAAGTTGCATGGTTTCGAGGGGGACACATGATAAAAATATGGATTTGACCATAAGTGGTCTTTTCAAGGTGAGGTCAACGTGGTCGATGTTTTCTTAAAAGGAACTCCCCATTTTTTATTACATATTCTTGTAGCTTACCTCGAGAGCTTTCCAAAACACTATAATAAAGTATTTTTTCATTAAATACTTTTTGAGTTATTTTATATTTTAATCTGACATATTTTGATATAAAAAATAAAATATCTCGTAAAATATTTAGTTCTCGATAATCTTACCGTAATACTTTTATGTACAGAATAATGAGACAAATCAATAAGTGTAAAGAAAAAAACAAATAATTGTTTTAAAAAATACATTGTAAATAATTACATACTTTTTCTTAAAAACAATTATTTTTTTTACTAATTGATTTGTCTCATTATTCTGTACATAAAAGTATTACGGTAAGATTATCGAAAACTAAATATTTTACGAGATATTTTATCTTTTATATCAAAATATGTGTCAGATTAGGATATAAAATAACTCAAAAAGTACTTAATAAAAAAATACTTTATTATAGTGTTTTGAAAAGCTTTC